TGGTTTCAGCAACCAGCTCCCGCCTCTTTGCCCATTTTCGATTATCCGGGAGTGACGCGCGGCCAAGATGGCGACGGCTGGCTCCGCCTACTTTAGGCTTCAAAAATGCTCTTCGGAAACCTACGGGTGACGTCACGGACACTACGTCCATGTTTTTATACAGTCTATGATATACACACACATAGGCCTATATTTTTTTTCTATACATTTAACTTTTATTACACTGTAGATCAAAACAAAAGAATGCTCAGTATTTTTATTTTTTTTTTATGAGAAAATACTTCTTAATTCAAAGAGACTGTAGTTTCAGGTTGCATTTGCACAACAAAATGAATTAAACATTTTAACTTGCAATATTATGAAATAAAACAAATCAAGATGTGCAATATAAAAAAAATTTGAAAAAATTAGAATGATGTTTGTCAGGTAAAACAATAGAATATCTCTTGCATATAGAACTCAGGAGTCACACCAAACAACATGCAGACTCAGACTCTGCATGCCTGAAGTGCTGCTAGCGACTAGAGTTATTTGTAACATATAAAAGGTGTAAATAAAATATAGCATATGCATATGATATAATATGAAGCATCCATAACTGTCACGTCTGTTAACACGTTATTACGGCTGTTCAGTGCAGAGAAGGGAGACGAGTTGATCATTATTATAATGGACATCATTTGCTTTTTGAAGCATCATGACTTCATAAATCTAGCCCTTATAAATCCATAAATCATTACTATTAGGACAAAGTGAGTGTATTTATTTTTCAGACAGGTCTCTATCTTTTTACAAAATGCTTACTTTTGATATAATTAAAAAAACAATGGGTGGACTTTGATCTCTTTTTTGCAAACATGAAATATAGTTGGATGAAAATGTAAATTTTACTATCAGTGCATAGTACCTCATTTGTGGTGGATAAACATGGCGATTTCCTTCAAATTTCTATCAAAGCATATTAACGTTGTAAAATACAGACCTAAATGCAGAACTTAAATAGGGTTTTGTTCTTTTTGTAAAAAAAATTTCACAGTAAGGTTGACATTTTCATTGAATTGCTCCTACATTTTCGTCTTGGGACATAACATTGCCATGAACATTTAGATATTACCTTAACTAATATAGTGAAAAATGCCAAAAACTGATTTGTGACAACATCTGAAGTGGTCCTCATATAAATTGCTACATCAGCTAATTGTGCAAGGGTTAGATTTGCAGGTACAGTTAGGATTTAGCAAATCATCAACTATTGCTAACTGAAAAATAAACCAACATGTGTGTATATGGTTTTTGAAAAAGGCAGTGTGGCTTCCCACCTTTTTGATGCTGCTGGCATACTGTTTCATGGCGATCTTCTCCACTGTGCTCTCAAAACCAAAGAAAGATTTGATGTCCAGACTGGCAGATTGTTCAAAACATGTCCATTCTTCATTTTCTGGGTGAACCTACATTGGACAACAGGTTACATGCCAACTTTGTTAATTAAATTGCCAATAAAAGAGTAGTATAAAAATAATGTTGTCAGTATGAAATATAACTATATCAGTTGTTATACTACTCTTGTATAGTATAGAGTGGTGTTGAACAACTGATGTTGAAGTAAGAGATACTGACTACACTATTTGAACAACCAGATAAGATCTGAGTAAAAGAACACATTGGACATTTACTCCATAAGTTAAAATTTGAAAAGCAAATAAGAATTGTACGAGTTGTAAGCACTGTGAATGCATACAATGCATATGTTTCATTAGCCACATTTTGGTCATTGGCTAACCTTCCAGGGAACCTGAGGTAGTAATATTGTACCTCAGAGCTTCTCCTCTGTAACAGTCCCATAAATAGAATCTTCAAAGGAGGCCTTAGAGGATCTGACCCCATTAACTCTATCATCATTTACTCAGGCATGATGCATATGGCTACTTTACTTTAGCATTGCACAGTATTACCTGAATAATCATTTAAAAAAAAGTCACTAAGAGCTCTACAGTGCGTGCATAATTATTAGGCAAGATGATATTCTGATCATATTTTTTTCCAAGCACATTTTACCAATTCCAAACCACATCAATCTTAATAACTACTATTAATTTTGAATTTAATCATTTATAAGTGATATATAATTGTCCATGAAGGCTAGAAGTGAAAAACGTCTTCTATTCAGGTGTGCATAATTATTAGGCAGGTTTCCTTTACAGATAAAATGAGCCCAAAAAGAGATTTAACTCGGACTGAAAAGTAAAAAATTATTAAATGCCCAAGAGAAATTTTCAAAACTAATGCAATACAGAAATTGCAAAGTTAAGGCATGACCATTGGACAGCAAAATGCTCATTGGGTCAGCACAGTTAGAAAAAAAACAGGTGAAGAAAAGACACATGCTAACTGCAAAATAATTAAGAATTAAGGTGAAGAATTAGGTGTGAAACCATCAGGAACCATTTAGTCTCCAGCACCACCATTTTCCAAAACGGCAACCTACCTGGAGTCCCCAGAAGAACAAGGTGTCAGATTTTCAGAGACTTTGCTTGGGTAAAAGAATCCTAAAAATATGACCCTCACAATAAGAATAACATATGATTTCTGGAACAGTGTTGTAAATACAACTTAACCACTGATTTCTAGTCATGTTCTCTTTTGGAAGGCCAATAAAGTAGTTTCACTTTTACAACGAAACACAGCGGCCTTGAGTGAGCGGCGGCGGGCTAGAGTGAGCGGCGTTATGCAAATCTTCCCACATCGTGACGTAGACATGTGGGGTCGTGTTAGAACGAGCCGTTTTAGGTAGGCGTGGTTGACTCTTAACTTTTATAAAGAATATCTCTTTGGATTTGAGACTTTAGTCTTTGCAACTTTACAGATCTTCTTTATGCACCAAGAGCTTGTAACACTTCAAAGAGAAATTAAAAGATAACATCATAATTATTTTCTAAATCGCATCATATGACCCCTTTAAAAACATTGAGCGATGGACAGGCCCTGATAATGAGGGGTAAACTGTTCCAGAGTTTAGGGGCAGCAACAGCGAAAGCTTGGTCACCTTTGGATTTACAGCGAGAAGGAGGGGCAGATAAAAGAAGCTGGTTACAAGATCTTAACGACTTGGAGGTTGTATATGGCTGGATAAGATCACAGATATAATCCGGAGCTGACTTTTGCAATGCCTTGTATACAAAAAGAAGGATCTTAAAATCAACTCTGAATTTGATAGGGAGCCAGTGCAATGAAACAAGAACAGGAGTAATATGCTCCCTCTTTTTTGTTCCTGTCAACAATCTGGCTGCCGCATTCTGAACCATCTGAAGCCAAGATAGAGTGCTTTGAGGAAGACCGACATACAGAGAATTACAATAGTCCCGCCTGGAAGAGATTAATGCATGGATGACAATTTCGAGATCTTTTCGAGAGAGAAAATGTTTTACTTTTGCGACAGATCTGAGGTGGAAGAAGCTACTCTTTACAACCGTGTTTACATGCTTGTCAAATTGTAGTAATGGATCGAAATAGACCCCTTGATTTTTTACATGGTGTTGTAAGTTGTTACTAAGGGAACCTAACCTACTTGTACGAGTACTATTGAGTGCAGCGGGGCCTAGCAGAAGCACCTCAGTTTTGTCAGTGTTTAGTTGCAAAAAATTATTAGCCATCCAAATTCAAAACATGAGAAAAGATGTTGTAAAGAAGAGTCATTTCCAAGTTTAATTGGAAGGTTGGAGGTCGTCAGTGTAGCAGTGATAGTTGATATTATATTTCTGCAGAATGGAGCCAAGGGGAAGCATGTAGAGCGAGAACAATAAAGGGCCAAGAATAGAACCCTGTGGAACACCATAAGGGATGGGCGCAGAAGGTGAGGTGAACGACCCGACATTTACTGAAAAAGTCCTACCCTATAAATAAGAGGTGAACCACTGTAATGCCGTGCCTTGAACCCCTACTACACATTTGAGTCGATTCAAGAGGATGTCATGGTCGATAGTGTCGAAGGATGCACTCAATCTAACAGTATCAGAATGGCAGATGACCCCAAATCAATGGACAGCAAAAGATCATTCATAACTTTAAGCAAGGCCGACTCTGTACTTTGAAGTGCTCTTAAGCCAGATTGGAACTTATCCAGAATGTTAAAAGCATCCAGGTAAGAAGCAAACTGTGAAAGCACTGCTTTCTCTAAAACCTTAGAAATAAATAGGAGTTCAGAAATCGGCCGGTATTTACTAATGGTGCTTTTCCACTGCGTGGTATGACTCGGCTCGGTACGGCACGGCACGGCTCGGTTTGCGTTTCCACTGCAGTTCAGCACCGCTTTAGAGTGGGCGGGATTATTCACATGTCGTTATAGTTGCGCCTCCTCTATTGCCGCGACTCCTGAAAAACTTTTTCATTCCGCGTCGCCCCATCAAGCT